TACTCGGGCCAACCATTTATTTAACTTTTGACAGCTCGAATTGTAATCAATTAGTGATGTCCTAATGCGTTTCCGATTCGATTTAGTTTACTACAATCGATTTTGTTTATGAAGAAGTTTAAATCGTGAATGTGAACGGGTTTAAGAAAGAAGATATTGTCTGACTGGGATGTTGCGTTTGACAATTTGTGTACTTAAGTGTTAAAAATTAATGTTAATGAGGATTCAAGTGACGATTCCCTTTTATATGGAGAAGAATCCGACGATTCATTATTATAATATAAAATAATAACAATAAAATTTTAATATAATTATTTATAATTCATTTCATTTCATTATAATTTATTAGACAGGTACCAATTTTTCAACTTGAATAATCTTCGTGACATAATCTGTTGGCTTAATAAATATCGGAGCTAAAGAGCACGTCGCTTCACTAAAATTAAAAAATAAAAGGGTATTGCATTTTTGTCATAGCTTACTGTAATAATGGTATGATTAAAACTTTCAATTAAAGTATATCAATATTCAATTCGGGAATGTTTTATGTTACATGGGAATATCCGGGAATGTCATATGAGATTTTATTTTATTTTGCATTTATAAATGCTCAAATATTACGAAAAGTGAAATTGCACAGAAAAAATGTAATTTGAGAACGTATTAAAAAACTTCTGTCAAAATGAAGTGAACAAACGAAAATGTTATTTGATCTTTGTTTCTGATTGGCAGTCCTATAATTTCCCATCATCCTGTTTTCTTTTTTGGTTTCAAAAAATAAAGATAATTAAAATGAAATAATAAAAACCTCGTATTCGAATTGTTTTAAGAACAGAATATCGATAATATGTATGCCTACAAGAACAACACTATCTCAAAATAATCGTTACCAACAATCATCAAAATATACAAACAAACAGGTGATCTAAAGTAACCAAAGCAAAATTGAGGAAGACTTATGCATAAACTACTTAAATAATTAATGAGATATTTGGGCTTGGGATTATATGATTTATAGGCAGAAAAATAACAAATGCCGGTGAAATGTAACTATCGGTTGCTTTTTGTAATGCTGCCGCGACACATTTTTATTAATAGTTAATTGTTCTCACTGTCCATATGTTTGTCCATTTAATTACAATTCATGCGAATAATTCAATAAAACATTTGGCGAAACATTTGTGTTGACATTAAATTTTGATGTACTTCCCTTTGACAACCGTCTCCGTACTCCTAAAATAGCGAAATAAGCGAAATGGGCAGAGTTGGCATTTACAATGACGTTACGTATTTTCGATTCCCGTATTTGGCAAATACCAATGTAATGATATTATCTCTTTTGGGTTACAACGGCACGCATTAGTTAAACAAAGACAATAACATGTTTATGATTCGTAATGGATAGTAGTACTCTGTCTTAAATTAATAAGAGGCAATATTAACCATGAATAACTGTTTGGCGGCTATGAGCAAAGTAAGATACGTGAAATTTTCATAGGAAAATTTCATAGTTGTGGAATGTATAAGTGGGTTGATAATGACGATGGTTTTTCTGACCGGTGTCAAGCCTATTCAAGTAGAATGAATGCCTTATTGATAGATTACAATACTAAGTTCTCATGTTCTCATGTGGGGTCAAGCAGCAGACATACAAATCATATTTGTAAAGCAAAAACGAGCGATACGTTCTGTGTACCCTTTAGGTTCTCGGGTTTCTCTCAGAGAAAAGTTGGAGGAGACTGGTATCATGACCGTGGCATCACAGTACATTTCCTCAAATATTTTGTATGCCCGTATATAATTTCATTATGAAGGAAGATATCCATACTATTAACTTTAGAGCTAAGTCCAAACTCACGGTGCCACGATTTCGTTTAACCAAGGTAAACGACTCTTTGAAGGGAAATGTACAGATTTTTACAACTTTCCAGAACATATATCAAGATTATCATTTCCTAAGTTTAAAACCTACATTAAAAATGTTTTAATTGAAAAGTCATACTACAATTTTGAAGACTACGTGTTAGATAAAGATATATGGAAAGGCGACAAGGCTCTAGATTCCACAAAAATTTGATTCAAAGTGTATTCCACAGCATTTAAGTTAATTGAAAAGAGCAATCCCTAGAGTTTCTTACTCGTTCTTCTCAGGGAGGTCAGCGTAGTGAACGAGCAGTAGCTTAAAAGTGCCATTTTCAAGTGTAAATTTATTTTATCTATGGAATAAATGAGTTTTTGATTTGATTAAGTACCGTAATACTATGTTTAACGGTGAATATTAACATGGTGAAAAAGTACCATATCTATCACTGCCACTAAGCTGTAATGTAAGCATTACTATGTTCTGGTTTTGAAGGGCAAAGGTGCTAGCAAAACTACAGGCACATGAGACTTGTCAACTTATGTCTCTTGGCACTGCAACTGGGCACCAAGTCTGCTGCTAATTTTAAATCGTCTCATTTGTCTGTCGATTGAGTACCAATGGGAGGATAAAAGTTGATACTACAATAGCGAAACGATGGAACGTCGATGGCGTATTCTACTAATTATTTGTCCATTAAAAAAATACATAGGAAATGAAACTATTTTTACGGATTTCAATCACGTATATTTATTTTTTCAAACAAACCAACGTTTCGGGCCCTTTACAGGTCCCATGGTTTTCATGGTTGGAATCGCGAAAACCTAAGAACTCGATAAAACAAGTCTAAAAAAAACAAATACCCGACAAACATTTAGATGGAAAGATAAAATACATATTCCCCCTCACTATTTTGATTATTTTTATAGCCTACGACACTACTACGATCAAGACAAATCTAACGACACCTCATATGTCAAAATTCATACATGACAGAAATGGATACACATACATACACTTGAAAAACTAACCATCCCCTCCCGCAGTCGGGTACAGATGCATTTAATGTGAAGACTGCTGCTGTTTTAACGAGTTCAAAATTAAAATATGCATAGTATTTTCCAAGACATCGTTAGTGATTGATAGAATGAATGCCGTTTAACTGACAGCCTATTGCGATTCGACTGCATTGCAGCTACGACTTAGCAGAATAACAAATGTTATCCTAATTGCAATATAATCTCAGCGGAGTCAGGATTTGGGTGCACGATATGAGCGATTCCTTTCCTGGACGTCTGGCGCACCCTGGGCATCGCCAACCTTACGCAGATCAGCAAATCCTGTCATCACGATGGCAGTTATAGTGTATGCCATCGATACGACCAGAAGGAAAAGAGTGGAGTCCTAATGGAACTACCATGACCAATGATATCAAGAAATAAAATAAATAAATAAATAACGCACACACTGACTGCCGCCGTGGCCGAACGGTTACCATTAGACTGCCACGCAGAGGTCCTAGGTTCGATTCCCGGGCCAGGAGTCATATTTGTACGGCCTACATTCATTTCTCTAGTGAGTTTGGATGTAATTTGTGGTTGTGTATGGGTGTGTCCACGGCACCCGCGACACAGGGTGGCAGAGCAATGTGGTACCGTTGGGCCACCGAGGCAGTTAGAAAATTAGCACACTTGGGGTCCTATTCTGGCTAGGCGTGTCGCTTTCCAACGCACTGGACTTAGGGAGTCACCAAACTTATTAACGCAAAATCGTCTTAATGCATGAAGCCAATTCGCCGTTGACGCGGCCGTACGAACCGATACAAAGCACACGTTTTTTTTTTTCACTTACGTTCATTGACATAAAGCTTTTTCTGACCAGCTCTATGCGTTAAAAAGTGTAGTGACTCCCTTATTCATCTTTTTATATTATAAAAAGAAAACCGTCGTGGCGCATAAGTTACGGAACCTTGAGTACTCGGGCTTTACTCGCAACTGGCGGGGTGTTAACAGAAATAGATTTCGTGACTGTGCATTCATTATTAACTTTACGTCTTCGAAGTAAGAATAATAATAAGGGTTTAAAATTGTTATAATCGATGCGTGTATGTTGTTTGCACTTTTTTCATTTTTATAAAACGGGAATATTTTTTTCCCTTTAACTTCGTACTGGATAGTTTTATGTGTAA